ATTTACTATTTCAATCCGAGTCATTTATCTCTCAGTAACAACAACTAGACGGGGGTGCAAAAGCCATCAACCGCCGGAACTCATTTAAACATCGGACTTATCTGTGTTGTTGAAACGTGCCACAAATTTCATCCTTTCTTGCTATCCAACCAGCCACCGTACACGCTCGAAGCACCACCTTAATCTGATGTCATCTGCATTTTACTGTGGTTTCGACCTGTGTCTCACAAATCCGGTTGATGGAAACAAGTATCGAGTAGGTAAGTGATATGTCCTCCGACCATTCATTCGATAAATCACTGTTAAGCTCTGTGTAGAACAAATAACGGTCGTTTTGATAAACTATTCGGAAAAGTCAGCGACATAGATCTTCGTGCACATTGATCAACATCCAGAAAAGACCTACCCACGGTCACGTGAACAGTCTGCATTTAAAACTTATTTAATCATGTCATCTTTCTAACACGTCACCACTAGCTTATTGCATGCCGTGAAAAAGGGTGTTGACAATCACAGGATTGTGGGTGCCGTTGACGCTACCACTGACTAGGAATAGGATATATTGAAATGGAACAAATCGGCTTCACTAAAATTGGGCGTAACCACTTTAGTGACCTTCATTTAATTGTACCTTCCCATTAGAATCGGAAGTACAGAGAATGCTTAATGCTATATTTTCTTACTACATACCGAGGTTACTCAAGAAATATGTATTCTATATATCCGTGACTTTCAGAGCAATAAGCTTCAGGTGTGTGAGCTTTATGTTTGTATTTTTACGTCATTGTTAAACCAGCAATCGACTGATATACTCGTTCCTGGGGTAAGAGAATCAGACCAGTTACATTTATGTCCAGGAAGTTAACTTACTTCTATCGCTGCTGGGTTTAGCTTGACAGAATAGAATACATAATGTACCCTCAGTTTTCGCCTAATCACAGATCTGAGGTGTATAATAAAATAAAGAAACACGGCTATCAGTCAGATAGTGTTCCTAGGTAAAAATCATTAATGGGAGGTCAGGAATGAAACATACAAAATATAACCTAACGTGGTGTACTTGAAAGGCTGTCACTGATCGCGCAAAGTCCACATCATTACAAATGTGCTTGGAATTCCGCAATGACGTAATCTTCGTTGTACTTCACAGGACAAACTGTTTTCTAAATTCACTCAACGGCGATGAGTCTCTGTTTGATTTGACCAAGCGAATCGAACTCATCCAAGAATCTGGGGAACTTCTACCAGAGCAATGGGGTAACATACTGACGGGTTCATTTGTAGGGTAGTCAGTTGTAAAGGATTGCTTCCGATAAATTATCAAGCCAGTCGTAAATGAGGTTGTGGGTGAGGCATCTGCTAATGTTCGAAGTCCATCCCAAAGTTTTGAATTTTTCACCATCGAAAATTAATGACATGTTCGATGAATCGGAAATTTCTGATAAAATTTTCACAGATCTATTTTATCATGAAGCTTTGGTGCTTTTTTACTTCTAACGTCGGTTGACACTGACCAAATGTGTTTATAAAAATTGCAGTGGTACTCCCTAACTCTAGTGGTACTGTTTTGTGTTGTACTGTATTGCTGGTTCACGCATAGCAAGTTATATTCGGGTAAGAACCCTTTCACTTGCACCATAAATACAGTTCAACAAAAACAGAAACCTGAGTCAAAATAAAATATTTCTTCTGAAAGGTTTAGACAGAATTCACTTGCTGCACCCCACCCCACCCGGCCTTCTACTGTTGGTGAGTATACGCGCTCGGGTATAAAAGAGTTTTCCATGTACGGTTACACGAGATGTAATGTGTTGAAATTCACAGCCTACTGAGGGATGGAAACAATAACATGTTAATTCAGTGCGCCACGAGTGGTTAAGGTCCAAAAGAATTCTTTTCGTGATGTTAATTCAAGAATAAAACTGTTGTTGATGAATTTGCACACTGGATTCAGGGAAAGAGAGAAAACGCGACCAACTATTGCCGAACAGCAGAGTACCAGTTTAAATTTTCCATAGATGAGTCAGATAAATTAACCGATGGGTAATAGAGTGAGTTCATAACATATTGATACACAAAATGTCAGTACCTTATCATGGAGTTCACAACTATCTGAGTCTTCGAATACGAACTGTTTGACTCCGTCTTTTTTCGACGCAATTGCAAGTGCAATTTAAACAACAACGTGAGCTATCTATGGTGGCTCTGTGGTACTACACAGAATTCGCGGTAGATAGAGATATTCATTTATTATTTACCATTATTATTTTCTACCATTATATATCATATATATTATATTATATATTATATACATTATATTATATTATATATTATATATAATTATATTTTATGATATATTATATATATTGTTTATATTTATTACTTTCAGAAGGGAAGACCGTGAACGAGTATATCAATATTCAATATATTCAATATATGCCTCAATTGCTGAGTAGAATGGGAGGATAGAGGCTGAAAGTGAGATAGATTTAACCGTGAAGGCACTCATGTTGAAGGGGCACAACATGTAATCATGCGCAGTAGAAGCAACATGAGTATTACATATTTGTGAAAAAATACCAGGGGTGAAAAAACCCGACCAAGTAATTCAGAGTTGCTAACCCCCGGTTAGGATGAAAAAATTCCCATTCTATAAGTGATTTGTGATCTTTCGGTAAAATAGTTGGATAACCAAACTACTAGGTGATTTTCGCATTCGAAAAACCCACCTACAAAATCACGCACGGAAAAGCGAAGTTGATGGCTGAGCAACAGTAAGGAACAGATGCGCCAGCTGATGTTCGTCAATTCGAAGAATTAGTAAGGAAGTAAATTGGGATGGATGACTTGTCTTACATGGATCTATTTGTCCTACCAACAAGTTATAATTGATTACGGCGAACGTTTACAGAATGCAGTGGACGTCTGAGAAAAGCTTTTCTCGTCAACTTTACGAGAATATATACCAAAACTAATAATTTAAAACAAAACATTTAAGAATGATATAAGGTCTGAATGGCTTTGAACGCATTATAGTTTTGATCATCTTTCAGGAGGCGAAAAGAGCAAAAAAAGATAGAAAATAATATACAAAGGCTATCGCTGTTCACATCTGAGAATCAACTCCGAAATGAAAATTTGCCGAAAGTAAATCATCTGGGTCTATATCAGGAGAGTGACCCATTGTTTGGTATTCGAATTAATCGCGTAATTGTCACTGGCAAATGCTGGGTGGAGCTGAGTGACATGTTTGCTCTCCACACTAACCAATCACCACGTTGCCCACTTGGTCCCTGTCCATGAAATCTAACTACATATGCGGGACTTGATTAGGACAAAAGTACTATTATATTTTAGTGGCAATTACGTGCAGATGATGAATCTTATCCTTCGTAAGTTATGTACTGTTGTCCGTATACATAGTTTTGCTGTCGTTCATCCAGTTTTGTAGAATCATGAATCGGTACAGCCTACCTCGTACGACTCTACTTTACGGAGTTGGAAATTCACCGCACACGGTATGGCAGTGCGTGGCTCCGATCAATTAACCGACTAGACTGAGTTACCAATTACATTGGAATTGTCCACGAACCTACCCAACGTTGCCATATTGAAACAGTGATAAAAGGTGGTTCTCTTTGGTCATCTTTTAGGAGCAATCAGCTTCAAAGAGGAAAAGTTGCATCTTATGGAATTAAGCTTCGAATAATTAAGTCTCAGCTTACAGTTACCGCGTAATTTAATCAGCAAACCATTGCACCGCACTGCACGTGTTTCGACAAATTGAAACAAGTGTGGGGTAAGGCTCATCCAAGCAAGAGTGTAATGCACGGAAAAGGGTGTAAGTGGGTATGAACTGATATATGGTGTGCGAGAAAATGTTTCACGCCGTTATTGGGCACACCTTCATTTGTCTCTTTCATTGGTCATTAGAGATCAAACGGTAACCTTTGTCATGTCAAGCCATGAATTCGCTCCGTTCCGAGTGGATGTGCAACGCATTCCGCTCGGAAGCAGACTAGACGCTGTGGTATTTGAATTAATTCTTACTGGACGAAGGTCATAAGGTGCGCGAAATATCTGTGAGAGATTTTTTACAATGCCCGAAATTGATGGGGCCTCACACGGTCCATCCATCCAGCAAGGGCCAATGTGAAACTCACCGGAACGTGACAGGAATTTATCGTGGTAGTCAAGGTGCACAGATCGAGAGATTTGGCAACCGAAATATTGCAGACTGCGATTGACCAGCAGAAGTTGAAAGGGCAACCGTAATATAAGGGGCCCGACTGACAGTAATATTCATCCGCGGGCTGGGTGAAGATGGAGTCTGGATGGATATGAATAATCATTCCTTACAGTTCCAACGTGGATATTTATTGTTCAAATTCTCTCATCTATCACAAGACTGTTTCGGGTATACTGGTGTATGGGATTAGAATTATACCTCTCGAGGAAGTCATATCGCACTTTTAAAATAAACATGCTTCAACCTTGCGTTTTGTTTTTAACAAGCACAGACGTTTGCTCTCATGTTCACCAAGTTTCGGAGAGTTCAGCTTCAGTTTACTTGCAATTTTAGTTGACAGATTTTTTTTCTATAAACAATCGAAAGCAAAATGAAGCGTGAACTATATATTACTCAACATTCTGTACACATCCGTTTTATTTATCCCTTAGGCACTTGAGAGATACCAATAGCCAAAGAGTTACTATTTATTGATACTCATTGATAGTCATGCAGAGAAAAGTGAGTTTAGTTTAGATTTTAGCAGAAAATCTCGTGATGCGACGACTTGCATTCCACGGAAGTATGCAGTAATCATTATTACCTTACGGACCCATTAATTTTATATCATTCTAAGCTGAAAAGTGCGAAACTCAAACCATGAACCGGAAATGAACTGCAGGAGATATCTTGTTTGTCTTTCCCTCAGCATCACCGCTGGACAATCTCAAGCGGGAGGCTTNCGCTGGACAATCTCAAGCGGGAGGCTTCAATGGATGCTCTTTCACCATTTTGTCTCACCAACAACGACGTTCACGATACACCGACCACTGCAGTCAACGCGATCGGGATCAACACAGTACCGAGTCCGAACATGAGCAAGAAAACACGACCGTATGAGATATGCACACCCGCATCGCTGACGAAAGCCGGCGAAATGACATGTTTATCCGTATCAAGCACCCCCAAGTGGCATCATTATTCACCGGCTGATTCGAATGGAACTACCGAGAAATCCAGACAGAATGGCTTACCTCCATCTCCATCTGATGTGGAGTCTGCATCTGCTTTGGTTTCAACCGCCGGTAATATGCCGATGTCTACAGGAGATTTACATACCAGAAACGGGTTTGATTCACCTATTGAAATGGCTGTGACCAAGGACCGATTTGCTAGTGAACGGGATGTTGTGAAAAAGCGACGTAACCGCACTACATTTACCAGCTTCCAACTCAATGAAATGGAACGAGTATTCCAAGTGAGTCTGAAGGGAAGGGAAATTTGTAATCCTCTTGCTGACTTCAAGTATTTTACTTGGAGATTTTTTTCAAATCGACACGAAAGTTTTTGCAGCCCTTAAGCAGGTCGCTAATGAATGAAAGTTAATCACAATTCCGCCAGTAGCGTAAATCAGGCTGAACAAAGTCGATGAAATCGACTGAACAATTCGTAATGCACTTAAAAAACCACCAGGGTTTCTAATGAATTTTATTTTGTCGTTTCACTAGGGGGGGGGGAGGCGAACAAGGGAAATCTAAACAACACCTGGTGATGTAATCAGCTGCGATGCTAAAACTTTGACGCAATGCTATTTGTGATCTATGGATCCTGTTTGACTAAGGGTTACTTTGCTCCTTTATTTCAGTATGATTGTCCAGGTTGAGTAATTTTTGAACATCATGATTGACTGCTTTGTGTAAGTGTCGGAAATGACGACCGCTTTACTGCTAAGTTGAAATGCAGTATTTTTGACTAGATAGGTTTTCGGATCCAATTCACGAATCGGCTACGGGCATTTCAAAAGCGTCCACGGTTACTCCACCTATTACCACAGATGGGGCATTAAAGATGCAAGGAAAACAAGGGTTTGACTGGGCAAAAACATATCTCTCAGTAATGGTATCCTTTTTACGGCTAGATTTCACTGAAGTTGTATGATGAGCGAAAATAACCTCAAAACCGGTAGCGGGATTCCGGGAAAATTGTATTTGGTCATTCAAATAATACTTAATGCTGGAATTGTCAAGTTTGGGCTAGATCAGGATGATCATTTTCAAGGTGCTTGTCACATAATTTATGATTCAACTCTGTTCGTTCTGTACTGAATCATGCTTTCTATTTACGGGGAAAATTACTACAAAATGGGTTCAGATTTGTATAAGATTTATTTCAGAAATCATGGGTTGACATTGTACTACTTTTTCTTCCGGACAAAACGAAGACCTAGAGAATTATAACTCTTTCCAGCTCCGGGTTCACGTCCAGGCCACACCAACTAAAAGTTGGTTTATTCATCCTAATGGATCGGTTTTCAGCTCTTTGCACACCAGGGTCATTTAACATCACATACAGTCACAAATACAAATTAAGATACATTGTCGTAAATTGAAGAGGAAGATGGCGTAAAAAGGTGACTAAGGCTATCAGTTACCTAGGACTCAAAAAAATTACCTCTGACGGATGCTTTGTGCGCCAGAAATCTCGAAAGATATGGGATCACGGAAAAACGGTTGGTAGTGGACCGAGTTGACACAAGTTTATAACGACATCTATATATGGAAGTGGATACAGATTGTTTAAGCTCTGCGTGTAATGAGTGAGAGAGGACTGTTTGCCTTAAGTCAGTGACTGAGAAGATTGAACGAAATGGTAACATCTGGCGACATTTGTCTTCTTTCTGTTTCGATGAAATGGAAGAAGTGAACTCAGTGCTTCAAATTTCTTAAATGACAGAATAATATTTCGAAAGTTTTCGCAAGAGGTAAAATGTGTGTCGGCGATAAAGTTGAACAATTGTAAATAGGGACTACCACTCGTGGGTGAAATAATTTGATCAGATCG